AACGAAAAAGTACAGTACTTGGAATTGTGTTCTTTATGGTTGTAGTGTTGGTAAAGCACTAATATGCAGAAAATAAAGGAATTACACAGTGCAGTTTCTTACGTTATGTTACTCGCTTGAACTAGATAAGTGGGACATGTGGTGTGTCGGGCTATGTTACTCTCCAGGGTATATGGTAAAAAGTGACTTAATTTGGAAGTCACCTGACTCAAGAACAAAAAAAAAAAAATTTGGTTCCCGTAAATGCTGTTTGAGGTGGTTCGCCCTGTTTTAGTTTTACCAAACTTAATCTGTATGATAATTTAGGACACAGCAGTTAAACAATTTTTAAAAACTGAGGTCCCATAGCAGTCTTTATTCTGTTTTTTCCAAATTACAACCTGAGCATTTTTAGAGGTACAGAATTGTGTCTAAAGAACTGGCCTTAAGTCTTTTTAAGTCTTAATTCTTTACTATAGACATTTGGATTTTAAAGTTTCTTTTAGAGGTCAAATTGTCCTATAGGAATGGCAGAATTGTATTCATTTAGAAAGTAAAATAGTATCTTACAGGATAAGGTCGGAAGAAAGAAAAGTAAAAGATGAGTAACTTGTTGGATAAAAGGGTTTTAAAGACATTCTTCTAAGCCGTTCCTCCTATATCAGCAATTTTTATAGTTTGATTTTGGAGTGTCTTCATGTGATCTCTAGTATGATTTAACCTCCATGTTAATATTTATTAATACATTTAATACTGTGGTTAAGATACTGTGACAAAGTATCAATTTGTCAGTGTTAGCAACAGAAACTATTTTCCTCTTTAGTGTGTTTTTATGCTTTGATATAAGCTTAGAAATACAGTAGCCATAATCTGAATGGTGATACAGCTTACAACATTCTGAAAGTTATTTTCTCAATACCTTGTCGAATATGTATCAGGATTACAAGTAAGGCAAGTCTTGTATCTTCCCTTACAGGTAAAAACTGTATTTGTAAAATCACATACAGCAATTATAAGAAAATTTTAAGTCTGACTAGTCATGGAACATGATATATTTGGAGTTAATATTCAATAGTAACCTTTTGCTTTAATTAAATGGTAGGGACTAGTAAAGGTTACAGTATTAGAGAGTTTACAAAAATGGAATGTTGGAAGATGGAGCCATAGAATAAGCAAAGCAACTTCTTGCTTTGCCAAAAACTAAAGTTGTCAAACTAGATTAGTAAGTTGAACAGGCAGGAAACACACAGGTAAGATCAAAGAAGGTAGAACATGTCTGTAGAGGGATTTAGGAATTAAATTTGCAATTAAATATAACTCAAGCAATGGTAAATTTCAAGAGAATGAGACTGTAAGAACTAACCTCACTTTGTGGAACAATGAGAACATTTTTAACCTTTTCTCCCTTTATTTGAAATGTTTTATGACTACTTGAAAAAAATTTAAAATGAAAGTTTTTGTCAGTCTTGTCCTTGACTATCTTTCATTTTAAAATACATATTTTGTCCATAGTATTTGTTTTATAAGTTTGAGTGTAGATTTTTTATTTTTATTTTTATTTTTTATTTATTTATTTTTTTGAGACGGAGTCTCACTCTTGTTACCCAGGCTGGAGTGCAATGGCGTGATCTTGGCTCACCGCAACCTCTGTCTCCTGGGTTCAGGCAATTCTCCTGCCTCAGCCTCCTGAGTAGCTGGGATTACAGGCATGCGCCACCATGCCCAGCTGATTTTTTGTATTTTTAGTAGAGACGGGGTTTCACCGTGTTGACCAGGATGGTCTCGATCTGTTGACCTTGTGATCCACCCGCCTCGGCCTCCCAAAGTGCTGGGATTACAGGCTTGAGCCACTGCGCCTGGCCGATTTTTTTTTTAAATTGAGAGCCTGCTAATATGCCTGGCACTGTTGAGGTGCACAAGATTGACAGTGAAAAAACACAAAAAATCTGCATTCATTGAACTTAAATGAAGGGTTGGGGGCAGAGAACAAAGATCAGATGATAAGTCAAAGTCAATTAGGTGATATGCTATATGTTATACAGTGTGTCATATATATACACACATATCAGGGAACAGGTAGGTGTGTTCGGAGAAGGCCTCATTGAGGTGATGTTCGAGCAAATACTTCAAGGAAATTTTTGTTTTGTTTCACTACTCTGCACTTACTGGTAAGATATTTCTTCAAGGAAATATTAATATTGGTATAATTAACATAGTAATAGAAAGATAATAGTATAGTGTAAAGCAGAGGTGGGAAAAGTTGCCAAGGTCAAATCTGGCTGCAGCCTGTTTTTTATAGGGACTCCTAAAAATGGGTTTTACATTTTTAAAGGATTTGAAGTTGTGAGAAAAAACCATGAATATGTGATGGACAGTATATTGCCTGAAAAGCCTAAAATATTTACTAACTGGCTCTTAGGAAAAATATTTAACCCCAAGTGTAAAGCCAATTTTGAAAACATATTAATATATGTATATATATATATATATAAACATATAGAAAATCAAACAATTGAAAGTAAAAGACCATTGTTGAATGAATCTAATAAAAATTTAAGGGCACAGTGACAGAATTTCCACATTTTATACATGTAGTTAGCTGAGACTTGTTATTGAGTAGTCTAACCTGGATTTTTTTTTAAATGAGTTTAAATGCTTGAAATCTAGTTTCTCAGTTTTGATTTTAACATAGTTCTTTAAAACTGTGTGAATCACTTCATTTTAAATATTTCTCTTATTTTTATGGTCGTTTTACTGGTCTTTGGATTTAAGTTAAATGTGATTCTCTGTTAAGTGCCCTTTCTTCTGGATAACCTAGATTAGTTTGGTGTAGGTTTAGATAACGTTGTTTAACTGTGGCTTTTAATCCACTGTTATGGTAATTAAGTCATGAGTCTATTATTTTTATACTGAGAAAGTTTGTAAGAGGAAGTGTTTTATTGACTTGGAGACTAATATGGTACATGATATTTGGTTTCTTCCAGTATTATTCGTCTAAACAATATAAACTAGGAAAAATTCCTTCACACATGGATTATTTCTTGCCTAGAGTTATATATTAATATTAAATAATACTAAATAATTACTAGGGTGAGAAATCTATAACTATTTTTCCTTTTGGGAAATCTATAACTATTTTAAACTATTTAAACTATTACAAAGTTGTGAAACCTATAACTATTCTAGACTATTACAAAGTAATTTAGCAGAAGTTATGGAGGGTAAATTTTCAGGACATTTACAAATGAGCTTTAAAAAAAAAACAACGTGTAGCTCATAGAAAGACCTATGTGAAAGTAGTTACTTATGACCATAAAAGTTGTTTTCCATTACAGCTGAATAGTCTGAAAAGGTCATAGCATATGAGAGGGGAAAATTGTAGAAGCAGAAATTTGGATCTTTGAAGTTTGTTACAATATGGCAAACCAAAGTGCTTTCTCTTCATGTCTTATTTTTTATTTTAATTAATTAATTTGTTTTTGAGATGGAGTTTTGCTGCTGTTGCCCAGGCTGGAGTGCAATGGCATGATCTTGGCTCACCACAACCCAAGGAGGCTCTGCCTCCTAGGTTCAAGTGATTCTCCTGCCTCAGCCTCCCAAATGGCTGGGATTACAGGCATGTGCAACCACACCCGGCTAATTTTGTACTTTTTGTAGAGACGGGGTTTCTCCATGTTGGTCATGCTGGTCTAGAACTCCTGACCTCAGGTGATCCACCCTCCTCGGCCTCCCAAAGTGCTGGGATTACAGGCGTGAGTCACCCTGCCCGATTTTATATAAATCTATAAATAGTTATAGATTTCTCACCCTAGTAATTATTTCGTAAAATTTTTTTTAATTTTTGAGATGCAGTCTTGCTCTATGCCCAGGCTGGAGTGCAGTGGCACAATCTCGGCTCACCGCAACCTCTGCCTCCCATGTTCAAATGATTCTCCTTCCTCAGCCTCCCAAGCAGCTAGGACCACAGATGCGCCACCATGCCCAGTTCATTTTTTTTTAACCCCTCCCCCCTGTTTTATATTTTTAATGGAGATGGAGTTTCACCATGTTGGCCAGGCTGACCTGAAACTCCTCACCTGAGGTGATCCGCCCACCTCGGCCTCCCAAAGTGCTGGGATTACAGGCGTGAGCCACCATGCCTGGCCCATGTGTTGATTTTTAAAAGTTTGTTTGTTTTTGAGACCAAGTCTCATTCTGTTGCTAGGCTGGAGTGCAGTGGTGTAATCTTGGCTCATTGCAACCTCCACCTCCCGGGTTCAAGGGATTCTCCTGCTTCGGCGTTCTGCGTAGCTGAGACTACAGGCATGTGCCACCACGCCCAGCTAATTTTTGTATTTTTGGTAGAGACGGGATTTCACCATGTTGGCCAGGATGGTCTCGCTCGCTTGACCTCATTCATGATCTGCCCACCTTGGCCTCCCAAAGTGCTGGGATTGCAGGCGTGAGCTACTGTGCCCACCCAAGCTCAGAAATTCTCAGAATAGTATGAGTTAGCATTTATCGAATATTTGCCATGTGTCAGGCATTGTTCTAAGCATAGAATGCGTATTAATTCTCTAAATTCTCACAGCCACCTTGGGAGATAGGGCTCTCATTTTATAGTTGAAAAAACTAAGGCATACAGAGGTACATGTTAATAAGTAGCACAGCCCGAATTTAGATTCAGGTAGTCTGTGCTATACTACCTGAATCTATACTACAAATGTGACTAAGGTGAACCAGTGCTTACTATGTTCTTAGTATTTTTTTGGTGTGTGTTTTCTTAAAAATATCTTGCTTTAAGTAAATTTCCAACAATTTTCTTATTTGATCATCAGTAAGTTTTGAGTCCCTGTATAATTTGAGTCTTCTGTGCATGGAGAACACAGTAGTAGGCTGCTTAAAGGACTATTTTTTTCTGTAAAAATCAAATTTGACTGCTTGATAGTGAATTTTACAGATCATTGTGAAAAATACGAAAAGTTAACATTTTCACTGAGCTGATTATTTGTATGCTTATTTAGATGTAGATTTCTTTTAAGAAAAGTTTGATATGGACTACTTCATGAATTTGTGTCATCCTTGCACAGGTACCATGTAATCTCTGTGTTGTTCCAATTTTAGTATATGTGCTACTGAAGTGAGCATCTCAGTCAAATTTCAATTTTAGATAAAGTTTTTTTTTTTGAACAAGTATATCCCAAGCAATATACTAAAATTATACTATATATATATAAGTTATATAAAAAAACTTAAAATTTAACCAGCCATCCTATATTCTACCTACAATCCTATGTCTGACTGAGTGGTAGGAAAGAAGGTAAGATTCAAAACAGAAGATTAAAAATAATTTTAGAAACCCTCAAGAACTCTACCAAGTAGTTTGGATATTGTTTTGTGTGTAATGGAAGCCACTGAATTTTTACATATGTGTGTGTGTGTGTATATATATATATATACACACACACACATTATATATGTACGCACATATGTAAAAATTCAGTGGCTTCCATTACATATATATATATCAGGAGAGAGTCACAGTGTCATAATGTTTAGGAGTATCTATTAGCTTTGTATAGAATCATGTATCAAGATAATGGATTGAGGTTGGAAGAAAGAAGTCCTTTCAGGAGACTGTTGATAATTCAGTGGAGAAAATGAGGGCCAAGTATAGTGTATAGAAAATGAGAAAGAAGTGAGATGAAATAAATTGGCGAAATATGTTACTTGCTGAGGAAGAGTTAACAATTTTGATTTTTTTTTTTTTTTTTTTTTTTTGAAACCCAGGCTGGAGTGCAATGGCATGATCTCAGCTCACTGCAACCTCCGCCTCCTGGGTTCAAGCGATTCTCCTGCCTCAACCTCCTAGGTGTGACTAAAGGCCACCACCACCACACACAGCTAATTTTTGTATTTACAGTAGAAACGGGGTTTCACCATGTTGGCCAGGATGGTCTCAAACTCCTGACCTCAGGTGATCCACTTGCCTTGGCCTTCCAAAGTGCTGAGATTACAGGTGTAAGCCACCGTGCCTGGCCTTGATGTTAATTCTTACATAGCATAGAAGTCACGATACATAGCATACTTGAAGAGACATTGATAATTGGGTAAAGTATTTTGTTTGCAGTGCTAAAAAAGACTGAATCTGTTAGGCATTCTCTCTTTTGTAACTATTCTATCTTAGAGCAGTGCTGCCCAATAGAAACATAATGCAAGCCACATATGTAATTTAAAATTGTTAGTGCTCACATTTAAAAAATAAAAATAAATTTTAATGTTCCCAATATATCAAACATATTATTTCCATATGTCAGCAGTATGAAATAATAATGAATGATATATTTTACATACCTTTTAATTTTTGGAGACTAGGGTCTTGCTATGTTGCTGAGGCTGGCCTCGATTCTTCCTGCCTTATCCTCCCTAGTATCTGGGACTACAAGTGTGGGCTGCCATGCTCAGCTCTACATTCTTTAATTTATGTGAAATCTTCACAATTCAAATGTGTATTTTACATTTAACATGCATCTCAATTCAAACTAGCCACATTTCAGTTCTCCATAGCCACATGTGGCTAGTGGTAATCATATTGGACAGTTCATTCTTAGATGGTGATTATTTTTTTCTCATACTCTGCCTACAACCTTAGTAACTACAGTAGAGAGGGTATCAGTTGAGATGATTTAGATGTAATGAATTTTCTAGGCCAGGGGTTGGCAAACCACGACCTGTGAACCCCCTATTCTGTTTTTGTGAATAAAGTTTTATCAGAACACAGCCACAAGCATTCATTTGCATATTGTCCATGGATGCTTTTGCATAACAGCAGAGTTGAGTGTTTGTGACAGAGGCCCTATGGCCCACAAAGCCTAAAACCTTTACTATTTAGCCCTTTACAGAAAGAATTTGCCAATACCTGTTTAGATCCCAAAGTAAAGTGTCTGGGATAAAACATATACCTTATATTGTTTTTCTTTTTCTTTTTTTTTTTTTTGAGATGGAATCTCACTCTCTTGCCCGGGCTGGAATGCAGTGGCATGATCTCAGCTCACTGCAACCTCTGCCTGTCAGGTTCAAGTGGTTCTCCTATCTCAGCCTCCTGAATAGGCTGGATTACAGACAGGCACACACCACCACTCCCAGCTAATTTTTGTATTTTTAGTAGAGACAGGGTTTCACTGTGAACTTCTGACCTCAAGTGATCTGCACATGTTGGCCTCCCAAAGTGCTGGGATTATAAGCCTGAGCCACCGCACCTGGCCTACATATTTTATACATTCAAATGAGGTTCCCTAAAGAAATAATAATTGAAATGATTAAAATATAGTATATATATAATATATTGATTCATTTATTTGCCAAGCATTTATTGAAAGCCTACTAAGTTCCAGGTGCTATACTAGGTTCTATCAGCAAGATAAATCAGATTAATGACAGATCTGTTGAATCACAACCACTGTGTCCTACTGGGTTCAATGCTTAAAACACACACACACACACACACACACACACACACACACACACACACAGAGAGCAATTAGTTAGGAGCCTCTCTTCTTCAAGGGTATTACTTTGAAGTCAACAAGACTTAGGCTTGAGCATAGGCTCTGCCACTTATTAGCTGTGGTATCATGGACAAATAACACATTTTTTGTTCATCAAGTTTCTTATGTGTGAAATGGAAGATAGTACCATCTATTGTGTTGATCTATTTTGAGAATTACATCTAAAGCCCATAACACACTGATAGGCACACAATATTTATTCAATAAAGTGTACTGTTATTTAACTCTGTGCTCCATTTTCTCATCCTGTAGATATTTTTTCCTCTAACTCCGAAATTACTGTGGAAGAAAATATCCTACAATTCAGAAATGGTGCTGATATAAAGTATTAAGCCTAAGTTTGCAAATATTAAGGGAGGTTTCATGGTAAATGTAACTGTATTTTAGTTATACAGGGATTAAGTTGATCAGCATGATGCTTTCATATTAGAAATTATTTTAAATTTCAGTCTGTGGCTATTTGAATGATGAATACAAATAAATTTTGAGTCTAGTCTCAGTTATATCACTAACTGCTATGATTTTACTGGACAAATATCAAGTTACAGCCACCATAGCTCACCTCCTCATTTTTAAGATGGGGACACTATCATCTACATTTGTAATTATAATGTAACTAAAATTACTTGGACATTATCATTCCAAGGGGAGACACTTAGCTATGAAAAAAAAAAAAAAAGCTAACAATTTTAAGATTACTTCCTTTTCAAATGGATTCTTTTTGCAATTTTTCCTTACCTCGTGAAAACTGAGTAGCACGTGTTCCTCATTTCCCACTCCACCCCCAACCATCAATACCTACAATACTTACCTGAACAATGTTTTGAAAATTATAAATGACTTGGCCTGGCACAATGGCTCATGCCTGTAATCCCAGCACTTTGGGAGGCCAAGGCAGGCAGATCATGAGGTCAGGAGTTCGAGACCAGCCTGACCAACATGTTGAAACCCTGTCTTTACTAAAAATACAAAAATTAGCTGGGCGTGGTGGTGCTCACCTGTAGTCTCAACTACTCATGAGGCTGATGCGGGAGAATCGCTTGAACCTGGGAGGCGGAGGCTGCAGTGAGCTGAGATCGTGCCACTGCATTCCAGCCTGGGTGACAGAGCCAGACTCCGTCTCAGAAAAACAAATAAATAAAAAAGAAAATTCAATGACTGTCTTAAAGTGTTTTTATAAACTTTCACACACATCTCCCTCTGGCTATCATACCCTTAACATCTATCATCTTCTCTTCATTACCAGCTTTCTGGAACACTCCTATTAACAGCTTCTCTACTGCCTACTGCCTCCTAGGTCTTATTGACTTTTTTTTTTTTTTTTTG